CGAGGAGGCCTTAGGTCGGATTTTGCTGCCACAGGTAAATAGAAGGAAGTAAATAACAGAGTGCATTTGTTTTTCAATTTTAACTCTATATATCGTCTATACTGATGAAAAAGAGTGAAGTAGTAGAGAATGCTGATCACCTTACTTATCTCTTTGAAATGTCATTGTCATTAGCTTCAGAAAGGTCGCTTAACTTTTGCAAATTAAAGCCATTTGTTGGGTAAACAAAATTTCCGTCTTGCGACAAACGGAAGAGTATACTGTACAACAACTGTGACATATGAACTATGGAAGTGTAAAACTTTTGTAGGTTTCAGGTATTTTGATCATACCATATATCATGAAACAGTCGAATAAGCTATTTCCGAATCAAACATTTTGAGCATATCTAACGGCTACATAATTTAGTCCATCAGTTACTAACTTCATAATGAGTACAGTGATCTTGAATACTATTAGAGGTAAGAGGGCGATTATCATTTCCCAGTTGCCCACACCGTCGAAGGGTTCTTCTGGAGGCGCCTGAAAATAAAAATTGGATTACAGGTGGTTTTAGTGACCTGAGAGTGTGACCGCAGTGCTCAACGGATAACTGCTTGAGGTCGGTCACATATGACCTTTTTGTGAGTAATTTTCGTGTTAGCTCCGTACATGTTGAGACCTTACCGCCAGAGACGGATATTCGTGGGATAAGGCGAGGTGTGCATTTCTAAGGTCGACCTTTTCTAACCCCACCCCTCCTTGTGGAAAGGCAGTCTTGCTGTTATGCTGGTTGTCCGAAGTAAACACCTTACTACCGTCACACCTCCGTACAGTCAGCAGTATGACTTCGCTCACGGACCTTAGGTTTGTTGCTTTTAGTCTTACCGTTCTTCAACCGACCTATTTGACATAGCGGGACCTTGAGGAACGATTTATCCAGCCAATATAGCTCGATTGGTTCATCACGATCGGAAAGTCCGACTACCACGTCAAGGTAGCAACAACGGTCAGGATAGATTCATGAACTAATGCTATAGTTTGATTTAGTCATCCCTATTTGATCCCTTTCTCCTTTTCTATGGAGTTTATCTCTATTCGACCAATATCTATTAAAATAGTACTTTACTGTAAAATGTTTACACTTATTTTGATGTATTTGAATTTCATTTTGACAGATACTTAATTGAGCTTGACAATACAACTTCTCTTACTAAAACCCCAATTTTCACACCTACAAAATTACAAAATCCAATGGTTGTTTTAGATCAATTTCATACTAAAGAAACTACTTATCAGTTAACTAATAATGATGTTGATAATAAAGAAGATACTACTCCAAAAGTTACAGTAAAATCACGAAAAACACGTGATCAACATCCTCATCATAAAATCTCTACTCATTCTTCACAACAAACAACAGAATCTATACTTGATCATTTAGATCGTCTTCATCAAGAACATCATTATCATCATTCATATCAACCAATTGATATGGATGATAATGATGATAATTCATCTGTAACAAGTTCTATGACTGATTCATCAGAAACTGTACGTCGATCAACTAGACGTGTTAGACCACCGAAACGTTATGATTCTTCAGCTGTTTAGTAATCACTTAATACTATACATTGTAATCATATACTATGAAACTGGGTTTTTTTTTGGGGGGGGGGGAAATCTTTGTAAAAAAAGAAAAAAAAACGTAAGACAATATGTTTTTGTGAAGTTTTGTTTTAACCGTTCAATGTTGAAGGGGAAAAATATTGATTATTTGTTACCTTATGTGTTTTTATATGTAATCCATATTGATTGGAACATGTAAATTGGATAGAAGTGTATTGTACTGTGCATTTTGTTGTACAGTGTAATTTTTGTTTGTTTTTAAATTAAAATGAATTTATTCTTAAGAAAATTGTTTAAATGGATTAGAATGTTTGGATTGCTTCGTCTATTGTTGAATAGTTGTTGATTTCATGAGAATCAGTATGAATGATCATTGTGTGTTTTTATTTTGTGGAACCAACTGTGTTAAGTGGTTTGTAACGGTCTATCAAATAAACGACGGGTTTATTGCTCAGCAATTCATTCCGTTCTACTTTATGGCAATGAAATATGGCCGATAAGAGTGGAAGATATTCGTAGGTTACTAGTATTCGAAGCATTGCTCGTATATTCTGGGACCATCGAGTAAGTAAGGCAGTTGTTAGGAAATGGGTACTAGGTAAGGATGACAAATCAATTGACAAAGTAGTGAAACGTCATCAGTTGCGATGGCTGGGACACGTGTTACGTATGCCCAACCACCAACTACCCCGACGTGCGATGTTTTATGGTGTAGGAGTAGATTGGAAGAAATCTAGGGGTGGCCAGACCAAAACATGTTACAAATCCATGATATCATTGACAAGTGGACTAAGCCATGTTGGTAGGTGTAGACTACCTGGTTGAGATCCGCGAGACGATAACAACCGAGGGTTAGAGACCTTGAATGACATGGCTCAAAATCGTTTGCAGTGGTGAGTGCAGGTGCATCCACTCTTTGTGTCCTCCCAAATTCTAATCTTCTCAATTCTTCATGTTCCTCCTTTTTTTCTCTTTCCAAATTTATTTCACTGGATTATACTCATTGAATAACATCTTCAAACCCTAATGTTTCCGATTACTGCTTATAACTCTTATTACCTCTACCACTGTTGGATTTGAATCGGCAATTGTATCTTTGTGCTAATGTGGTATGGCAACTTGAACTGATGTACGTACGTACGAATTTCTACGTTGTTACTGACTGATTTAGCTGGTATAAAAGTAAGTTTTAAGAAAGCCGGTAAAGAAGACAAAACAATACATAGTATCAATCAATAAAGTCATTGAATGTTAGTCTGAACCATTTTGGTAAATGAAAACTATCTGGTTATACAGTTAACGCGGTTATTGTGGCTAGTAGTTGAAGACTTTAGGTGATATGACTCAGTATTGGTCATAATGTCTTAGATCCATCCGTTCTTCATTTTCCTCTTGATGCTAGTTTCCAGTGTTCTTACACACGTTACAACACTTACATACATATCTTTCCATTCTGTCTTCTCGAATCACATTGTCAATGTCTTTCTCACAACTCTGTTACTAAATTATTCTTTCGCTACTCACCTTATAGCGTTGATGTGGTACGTCAGTTTGAATTAACGAAAATTTGTGATAGCTTCTACTTTGATTATAACCTGTTATCTCTCGTGGAGAAGCATAGGCCGCTCACCACCATTCTTCGCCTGTAGCTCTTTTAGGGCTATTGCCGGTCCCAAGCCCGGGTAAAGGAAGAGAATTGGGTGTGTGTTGGGCAACCACATCTCGTAGGAAAAAATGCTAACAGAAGTTCAAGGTAGCTTTAATGTTATATTTAAAATGTCCATTGATTAAAAGGTAGAAGTCGATAGTTCGGTATGGTATATGTATTAGTTGTGATACGAATAATTAAGGATTAAATCAACGTTTCACAATCATCATAAGTGAATCAAAGACTTGGGAGTATAGAAATTGAAATAACATCTAGTAAAGCTATTAAGAGTACGCAATATTGTGTGTTCGAATAAGTACACAGTAAAGAGTATATTCGAAAGGAAGTAAAAAAAAATGCAAATCCATGAGGGTTGTGAGAAATAATTATAAGTAAAATCGTTTTCTAAGCTTAAATCATTCAGTCAAAGAAGATATAATCGTGTTACAAATATTTTTATGGGTACAAAGACGGGGTGTTAGCTCGAATTCTTATAGTTTCTGTTATATATAAGGGACGAGAAAGAACCCAGTAAGAACAATTATTAAGTATGTGGTATATTACTGTAAAAGATTTAGTTCTGTCTACTTCGTGACCACTACCGATTAAGTGTGATAGAATTGAACTGAGTTCTGACCATACCATTTTCCCAACTACGAGATGTTTTAACTAACTCCGTCCAGTTTCATGTCACTATGCTCGTTACAGCTCTCTGCACAGCATCATCTGAAGTCTTAGATGCATGTGAATGTAACAAGATTAGTTAACTTATCCCTTAATTGAGGAGATGATAAATAGAGGACATAAAAGTTCTTCACTGCTTGAGTTGGTCTATCAAGTAGGAAGTTTTTTAATGTTTAAATAAGAATTATGAATTTTGACAATATGTAAGACATCAATACTACGTAGTCACATTTACATTTATATGTTAGTTTCATTGTCCAAATGCCCTGGTACGGCCGAGAGTGAGGAGGGTCAGCTCTCCCTCTCGACATGCCCTCATATGGTCATGTGCATACAGCCGCTGCCACAAAAGTCCGACTCGCGGTTGGCATGTTGTTTACGAAACCGAAAGGAGAAAACCCGGTGTCTGGCTCTCTAACCGGGATGTTGGATACGGAGGATTCACCTAGGGGAGTTGGAAAACCCTGGTTTCAAACTAATGGTGCACATGAGCTCCAGTGTCCTGAAGGAACAAATGGCGTATGAACCAATCGTTGATCAACGGCTACCATGGAACTGCATCTCCTTACGTTGTTACACTGCCTTGTGGATCAGACCTTTATGTCGAAGGCTCCGAGTGCGGCCCCCTAAGAAAACCACCTACTTCGGTTAAGGCACCCGGGTAGTATCACAGCCCTCACACATATCAAATGAGATCTGTGTGGCGCATATGGATTTGGTGCCTCCTTGTACCAATATCTATGTGTTAAAATAAATAATAAATAAACTATCAAACATGATTTCTTTTTGTTCAGTTCTGTTTTTATTCAATGTACGTCGTCTGATATGGTAAATAACGACTTAGGCTATTATACCTAATCAGAAAATAAACCATACTATTTCAGTCATAATGGAAAGTTTGGTATTCACAATATGATAGTTGAAACCTTCATATGGTACAATAATATATTCTAGTTGCCTAGATTGGATACCATACATTTTATAACAGAAATTACTGTCTTAAAATAAGAAATGGAGACAAAATCGTGTATGGAGTTATTTAGCAATAATGGAATAACAATTATTTCTTCGGATTCATAATTCCATCCAATTGAGCCTAGAAATTGAAAAAAATAAATCGATAGGCTACATTTAAGCCACCATATGAGAAGTGTTTTTATCAAACAGATGAAATACAAAATATGATCCACATTGTGGTATATAAATCAAATAACAATGCTTCTTGGACAAGAACATGTTCACTATTTAAATCCTTGAAATCAAATTCACTAAGGGTTACTATGATATGTACTACTGGTGTTGATAGATAGAAGTTGTATGTATCATCAATCAAAAGTAAAACATCTGGTACTAGACAGTTAAGAAGATCGAAAAGAAGAGAACGAGAACAAAGAGTACTTGGTATGGAAACGAAGGAACAATCAACTTTGAGACAACTAACTGATATTTTGCAAATTGAAGTATTTACTGTATGGTTCACAAATTTTACTAAAACATTCTGTAATGTTGTGTTCAAATACATTCGATTATCCCCACATGTGTTTTCGTTCTCTGTATTACTACTATTAAACAAGCAAGTAAATGTATCAACTACTTGATAGGTAGCTGATGTATACGAGAATGAGAAAAGCCTAACAAATAGTGGAGCAATCCTTATCTAAATGTATATGAAATACATCGTATTTCTTTCCATACTATTAACTACTAATCTATGTAGAGATGATGTTTGAACGAATTGAGTTGCTTTGATATAGTAGAATAGAAACCTGATTATTATGTCTCAACAATAAATACTGTAAAGAATACATCATATTCCTTATTCATCATTTTGATAATCCATTAATAAAATGTAAAACAATGATTACATACATTTTCAATTTAGATTAACTAACCTTTAATTGTTGATTATTTCGTTTTAAAAATTGTATTTCATCTTGATGTTTCTTTTCTTCTAATTGTCTCTGTTCTACTGCACGTTTTTCAATCTGTTCACACTTTGTTTTTAATTCATATACTTGTCTTTCTAAATCTTTCTTCTCTTGTTCCAAATCACTAATCTATAAATAATAATAATCTAAAAATTATCAATGACCACAAATGCTTGTAATGAATTCCTGGGTATTTTCTTTACATATTATTAATGATTTAACTTTCTACTTAATTCTCAAGCAAAGAAAGACTTATAAGTATACTAGTTCTATTCTCCAAACAATATTTGACATCCACGTCTATCACTAATTATCTTTATGGAGATTTCACTTTGTTGTAAAGAATTTGGTGTCAATGTCGATTAAACTTTCGCAGGATCTAATGATACTGATTCACCATGTATAAGACCACAAGTGTAGTAATGCTATTCACACCTTATTTAAAACTTCTGAAGTAATGACATACTAGGAAAGTATATTAATAAATGACAATATGTAGTATAGTAGTGTAAAAAAGCTAATGACAGTAGAGTTTAATAGCTCAGTTCAAGTAAAAGCTTTTGATATCTGCCATGATTGTTGATCGTGTTTCGTAAACGAAAGTGTTCCAAACTTTGAATCTATCAACAGATAAAGAAGACTAGATGATCTATCTTGGACTGAGAACGAGCGAAACATATTGTGAATACAAACAGATTACTGAATATGGATTACTTATTTTAACTTCAAGACCACCTTTGTTTGATATATTTTCAGTAGATAAAAGATTTGCTCAAAATAACCCGTGTCTATTAAGTTCGCTTGAAAAATAAGCGTTTTTCAGTCAAAGATACTATCTAAAATACATAACAATTAGACTGGATTTGCATCACGTAGTTTTTCACTTAATTTGGTTCACTACGCTCTGAGACTCATACATTAAGTGTCCTACATCAAAATGAAAATCGTATCATTAAACATTTGTTTAGCCACCGAACATCGAGCTTCAGTGGGTTTAGATTTTAAGATGAGCGTGAGTTTTTCAAATTATTCTCGGTGGTTGTAAGCAGCAATAACCTACAGAAAAGGAGAAACTTCAGGATCTTTTGGGCTTGAAAATAGTACCCATTAGATAGATACATTATAGAAATACTCACTTACGCCTGTTACGCTTTGTGGAGGAGCATGAGCCACCGAACTCTATCCTGAGTAATGGCTTCCAGTTGCTATTCATCCTTTTAATGTTTACTTCCAATTCTCGACACAGGGTGTTCTTTGGCCTACCTCTTTTCCGTTTCCCTTCAGAATTCCAAGTCAGCGTATGCTTCGTGATGCAGCTTGGTGATTTCCTAATTCCCTCATCAGCTAGAACCTGGTTTGTTCTCTCCCACAGTAGACTGTTGCTGGTAATATCCGATCAACGGATATTGAATATCTCGAGTAGACAACTATTTATAAATATTTACACCCTCTTGATGATGGTTGTAGTAGTTCTCCACGTTTCAGTTTCGTAAATTCGGAATGTCTTGATGTTTGTGAACTAAGGTTATTGTTATCGTATCTATTCTTAAAGCTATAATTATTTCTAAGAAGTCAATTTAATGTGAGAAGAGATGCAAACACCACGTTCAGTCAGAAATAAGCAATACAGGACTCTAGATATGTGTTGTTAGGTCTAAGCTGCTACACCGCTTCAATACTTAGACTAAATTACAGAAGGCTTGAATGTCTACATCAGCTTGCGAAATTCACAGTAAAATGGGGTCCACGTACTACCGTAAGAATGTCAACCAACTGTCTCGATGACAACTTCGAGTAGTTTGTGTTCCTGTGTATTTGTAGACCATGGAAATAAGACGCCCTAGTTTGAAGCTTAAAATATGCTTCAATGAGTAGTTTCATGAAATACTTATTTTGTTATAAAACTACAACCAAGAATACAAATAGATAATTGAAATACGAGATTGTTATTTCCTAATTAATCAGTAAACAAATCTCTGATATTCGTGAAATTGATAAATTGATGCTAATTTGACTGAATTCACTGAACCATAAATATGTAGGTGGTTAACCACTGTTTCGATACAAACTTGTTTTAACCAAGACACACTATTTAAAAATATAGAGAAGTTTTAATATAAGTATATCTTACCATTCGTTCCATGTCTGCCTTCCCTTGTTCAGATTGAAGGGCTTTACGCATGCCGAATGCTATGCTTGATTCATAAAGTGTCTGGTATGCTGCTATTGTCATTCTTATCTCGTCACGGACGCGAAGGAGAAGCAAACCCCGTTCAGCGCAGTTAATAGTCACTTGTCTTATTAGTTCGTCAAATACCTGAGAAATATTCCATCTTAAAGAGCCTTTTTGTTACTTGATTGTATAGTTCTCTGCGGACTGGGCATATTCCAGTTTCTCTAGCTTGACGCTGTTGCAATCGTCTATCGAGCTCTTCCTGTAAATTAACAACGTCAAGTCGTGTTGCTGGTGTGCTGGAAGCACGTTGAATCCAAAGCTGACCGTTTTCACTCCACTCCCTTTACAATGTGATGAATAATTTTTAGATCTACCTAGGCGGAAGAATCGAATTCAATATTTCTTCTGTTTGTTGGTTGCTTTTAGCTTCAATTAAAGAGGTCTTTCCCTGGGTGAAACGCAAGGTTTGTTTGAAGAGTCTGTAACTGGATGAGTTCCCTTTAACGTAGGTGCCTAAAAAAAGTCTAAAACTTTCTATTTTTAAGCTACCCCGGGAGATTTTTTATCTGAATTTTTAGTAATAAGTAATGGATTGTCATATTTTATCAAAGAAACATTCAGTGGCATCATGTTCCTATTTGTCTGTGTCTATTCGTAAGGTACTTTGTATGTCGAGGAAATGTGCAGAATTTTATGTGACAACAGCTGTAATATATAAGAAAAGAGAAAGAGCTAGCCCATGACTCAGTGAGCACGCAGAGAAAACTTAAATTTAATAAGCAAAGCTATATATGGCAATCATCAATATTATAGAAATAATACCAAGACAATTTTTATTCAGAATTTAATGTGCTAACAAGAAACGACGAGAGCTTACTAATTTATGATAAAGTCAAAAGTGGAGTTATGGAAACGCTACATTTTAATGGTTAAAACAATTTTCAATGCAGTATACGTACAGTACATTGACAAAACGAGGCTACTTATTATCCAAACAGAAAGCGTAATTTATATACATAAGAACCAATAACAAATAGCGATGTGATTGAAAAGGTTAAATAAGTTTGAGTAAAAAAAACAGAAATGAATTTTGTAATACTGCGAAAGAAAAATAAATTTTGATATTACTAACACAGTTAAGGTAGTAAAGTAAAGTGCCTGTGCTCAGATGAATCTGAAATCAGCAAGTATACCAGAAATGCTAACGATGGCGATTGAAGTTCGACTGCAACAGAATAAAAACAATAATATTAATACAACAGACTAATATCATTAGGTTTGCTACTTGATATCATAGTACCGTTCTGGGTATCTAGTAATGTTCAGTTGATGATAGTCTAGACTTTTGACTACACTAATTCTAGTAGGTTTGGTAGTCAATTGTGGATGTGCACATCTTGCAATTTGATTGAGTGCGCTTGTCTCAGAAGAGTAAGATTTCTTGATACCAACAGCTGTCACATTACCAGGTAAGAAACTGGATTGTTGCAATGTAAAGATAGTAAAGTAATAATTTGAGTGCGAAGAGAAGACGACGGCTCCAAGGAGGAATAACTAATTGGTAATGTGTAAGAAGACGGAGTCGGAAGGATGAGAGGGGAAACGGAGATGATAACAAGGGAAATAGAAAGTGGTCACTGATGTATGGTAATGATAACCGCGGCAAGTTGTAAGACATGCATCAGACACAGCTGGTCGAAGAGGGAGATGATAATGCATGGGCGAGTGCTTGCCAAGTCTCCTCTAAAAGCCATGTACTGAGGGGTGATAGTCACTTCGGATGGGAAAGCACTCCAAATGAGGGCGACTAATAATGATAAAAAATGAGAGCGTATCTGGGTGTTTGCTCTTTGATGTGCAATCTTCCGAGGGTTGCCTCAAGGGGCTAAATGACGATGTTATGGTAGTGTGTTTGCTAGCATCTTCCATTCCTCTCCTATCTCATGGCGTCATACACATATTCAGTCAGTTCTGTACTTCCAATGGCTGCAACAAGTCTCTCATTAAATCACTCGGAAGGGGTTATATTCTGCTTGCTGAGGCTTTGTGGTAGTGTTCAAGTCTCCAAACAGAAGTATTAGGTTAGAACCCAGATGATGTAGCTCTAGCATCCCCTGTATTATCCCATTTTCTGGGAGTTAGAAGATGTGGGGGCCGACATTCAAGTACTATCCGCCGTTCTCATCAAAGCAACATCGGTATAATTCTATCACTTCAGTTAGTTAAGCACTGTGTTATCATAGCTTTGAGGTGACTGTTAATGTATATCGCCGCTTCATCCGTTTTGTGTACCTCATCGTATCTGGGAGTTGTCATGCCTTGAATGCTCACTTCTTCCTCCATGATTTCGAGCGATAGACGAGTTCTAAATAGGACTGTATCATTGGCCATTTATTCTTGAAACACCGACCAGCGATGATCCGTAAGACGTTAAGCGAGAACACCAAGACTGTTACAAGTGGAGGTCTATTCACCTCGAAGACATGACAACAACTGTAGTGGAGAATACACCCAATTCTATATTGATTTGTACACCCATTTGATTTTTGATTACGAAAAAGTTACATGTATAAAAAAATTCTCCGAAATGTAACAAAACCACATACCACATTTCACGCTGAAAGTAGTTCACGTTAATTCAATGAAAAAATGCAACATTTAGAATAAGCATCACGTCGAAATTAACATATATATTAAATTGAAAAATCATCATATAAAAATGAAAAATTATTATCAAACAAGTATAGCAATGAGTTAAAAATATAACATCGTCACTTAGTACTGACACATCACCTCGCTATTTTTAAAGGATTATAAGAAAGGTTTTCCAACGATTTCCCCCCGCCATCTCATAAAACTACGAACGTTTTGAAGGAGAAAAATGCTCATGATTGGACATATTACTCGTACATGTAGTTACAGTGTAAATACTGATGGCAAAGCTATTACTGTGCATACTACCCAATAAAGAGGAAGTAAAATGTGAGACAATTTAAGGAACAAGTATGCCAGACGAATGTTTTGAAGAAAAAAAAATAATAAATATAGGTGAACATGTGCTACATGACGTTAGTGAACACTTTACCGATGAAAATATGATCGATCTGGTTCTCCGTGAAGTGCTCCAAATATATCCATGTAACTTTGTGCATGCGTTTATGTCACCTATAACCATTTTGTTGAACGTATATAAATTTGCAAGTCTCTCTTCATTCTCTATCCTTTTTCCCAGTCCATGTCGTTTCATCAAATATTTACGCTCGGTGTTATTTATTCTCACTTTGGCGTTTAGGTCTCACATCAGGATGGCCAAGTGCTTTCCTTAGCACTTTGTAATTATTGATTGCAGACTGTCGTCGTTGTTATAACACTGGACAATGTTATAGTGATTCTCCCCTCTTATTTTTGAATGATATTTTGATGATCCTGTATCTATGACATTTTTATCCTATAGGTGTTTTACGCGCCTCTATAGACAGCATTAGAGGAACCTCCTGGTTGTGCGCAGCGTGTTCTTCGTAAACGGAGTAAAGCAGCAGCGCTTCCGAATCTATCCTTTATTGTCCAGCTTGGGTCCAATGTGTTCTACTGATTCCGAGCACCGCCAATTTATATCTTTCCGTCTTTGTAGCTATTTGACTGGCCTACCCGGACTTCTAAAATGTTTGGACGTTCCATGAACCTAAAGTATTATTTGCTTTGGTTATTATAACGGAAATTAGCCTCATAGCTTCCTAAAGAACTAAGGTTCTCACTATGGACGTCATAGCCTTTCTAAATACAGATTCGTCAATTTCAAACACTGAATTTGCATGGTTGATTCATAAAGATTAGAGTTATTAACCGCACAACCAGCCGTATGCAGTTGTCCGGCGTAGCGAGCGATAGTAGATCAAGAAAAGCTCTTGGTGGAGCTGATCGAATGGATTTGATAAAAGAATATTTTCATTACATACTTGTAGTACTTGAGGAAGATTTCGTCAAATAGTGAGAGATAAACATAAGTCCCATAATTGGCGAGTCCGTGGTAACATCAACTCCTAAAGTCATCATCCTCGAAGCTTAACATATGATAACTGAGAAGACTTACGTTGAACGCTCAACACATGGAAGACGTGAACATGGGAATATGTGGTTGGGACCTCGTGGTTCAGTAATACAGGTGTGGCCACCTTTTGCTTTCTTTGATGAATACATTATTCTGTCCCCAGCCCAAATGTGTTCTTTAGGGTTCACATAAAGTACACTACCTACTGTCATGGTAAAAAGAGTTAGTGTAGAAGATGATGTGACTTCTATGTAAGATCTTGTGAACTAAATGGTCATATCATAGCGACTTCACAGTATAAGATTATTTTTATTATTCGGTCCATAAAGCGGTTCAGGGGAGATCTAAATTGAGCAAGCGTTCGACGTTACCGTATATCTGCCGGCAACCTATTCCAGAAGTTTGCATAACGTGTGACAAACAAAGTTAACTCTGATTTGCCTGATTTTCTCGATATCTTCAGCACAAAATCCTGATTTTGAAGGTTGGAACTACTACTTTTGGCAAATGCTAGAGTTTCATAACTTACCGTAGTTTTTTTGTGATATTTCGAAATTATAAAGTGAGGTTAATTTTAACCCGTTTCGACCGCAACTGATGCGGTTTCCATGCTTCACACTTATGCTTATATGGTAGGTCGGACGTGAAAAATCTTGCAAAATGAAGCTGTATCTTCCCAATTTCTAGCCAGTCAATGAAACGCATGTAACTGAATATAGTTGGTAAGTATTTTAGTAGAGGCTGAACACATATCTTGTATGGTGTTATTTTCGATTCCCTCAAGTGAACATTGCGGTTGACGAACCCAATAAGCCCGCTGACTTTAAGTATTTGAGGTTTAGCCCTTTCGGTGAATGAAAGACTTTTGGAGTAATACATTTCACCTTGTCCGGGTGCTTATTTGTGGGTTGGGTGTGTCGAAATACATGTACTCAGATTTTTTCGTGTTAAGAGAGAAGCCAGGCATCACATCGGTTTTTGAGTTGGTCCAGAGCTGTTTGTATCATAC